TTCCCCCCCTCCCTTTCTCCTCAGCCTCCCCCTTCTCCCCCTCCCCCTTTTTCCTCTCTCCTCCACGTCCTCCTCGTCCTCCTCCTCCTCCTCCTCCTCCTCCTCCTCCTCCTCCTCCTCCTCATCCTTCTCCTCCTCCATCCACTTTCCTCACAAACTACTCCTCCCTGTCGCACCCCCAGGCGTGTCAGTGCGGCGGGGCTGTCGTTTTGCCTTCAGCTTCCTGACCGCCTATGATCTTGAAGCTTGACATGTGCAACAGTTTCAAGGATGAAGGGCAGGCCGTTCTCAAAATGTGATTGTCCCCTCAACTCCGCCGCAATCGCCTGAAAAGTTTGCAACAGCTTCAAAGATGGAGGGCGGCGGGTTTTCAAGATATGGTTCTCCCCTGAACGCCGCACACATTCGTCTAAAACGTTCGCAACGGCTTCAGGATGGAGGGCGGGTTGTTTTCAACTGCGGTTCACACCGTAGCGCCGCGCGCATTCGTTGGAAACGTTTGCAACAGTTCCAAGGATGAAGGGCGGGTGTTTTTCGAACTGTGGCTCTCGCCTTAGCGCAGCGATCATTCGACAAAAAATTGCAGCAATTACAAAAATGGTGGGCGGTTGGTTTTCAAAATGTTGGTTTTCAAAACGTGGTTCTCGCCTGAATGCCGCGCGCATTCGTGTTAATTGCAACACCTTGAAGGGTAGAGGGTGGGTATGCTTTTTCCCCAAACATCCTGTGGTGTTGGGTCCTCGTTTTGAAAACACTCCCCGCGTTCCCTCCTCCCTTCCCCCCCCTCTTTCATCCTCCCTGCGCTTCACCCATAGGGAGCTCCACCGAAGCCCCCTGTGGGACCACCCGCACGCGCCCCGGAAACCCAATTTGCCATTTTAACCCACCCAGTACAACGCTTCGTGGCCCCATAAGGAGCTCCACCGAAGCCCCCGCCCACATGCGTCCCGGAAACCAGATTTGGCATCTTCGCCCACCCAGTACAGCGCTTCGTGGCCCCATAGGGAGCTCCACCACCCCCCCTGTGGGACCGCCCGCACGCGCCCCGGAAACCCAATTTGCAATTTTCACACACCCAATACAACGCTTCGAAGCCCCCAGTGGGACCGCCCACATGCGTCCCGGAAACCTGATTTGGAGTCTTCACACACCCAGTACAACGCTTCGTGGCCCCAGAGGGAGCTCCACCGAAGCCCCTATTGGGACCGCCCGCATGCGTCCCGGAAGCCAATTGTGGCATTTTCGCCCACCCAGTACAGCGCTTCGTGGCCCAATAGGGAGCTCCACCGAAACCCCCAGTGAGACCGCCAGCATGCGTCCAGGAAGTTTAATTTGGCATTTCCACCCACCCAGTACGACGCTTCGTGGCCCAATAGGGAGCTCCACCGAAGCTCCCAGTGGGACCGCTCGCATGCGCCCCGGAAACCCAATTTGCCATTTCCACCCTCGTGCAGCGCTTCGTGGCCCCATAGGGAGCTCCACCGAACCCCCCAGTGGGACCGCCCGCATGCGTCCTGGAAACACCCAATCTGCCATTTTCACCCACGTTTCGTACACCCAATCTGCCATTTGGGACCGCCCGCAAGCGTCCCCAACGCTTCGTGGCCCCATAGGGAGCTCCACCGAAGCCCCCAGTGGGACCGCCAGCATGCGTCCCGGAAACCAAATTTGGGGTTCTTAACCCACCCTCTACAACGCTTCGTGGCCCCAGAGGGAGCTCCACCGAAGCCCCCAGTAGTACCGCCAGCATGCGTCCCACACACCCACTTTTGTATTTTAACACACCCAGTACAGCGCTTCGTGGCCCAATAGGGAACTCCACCGAACCCCCCAGTGAGACCGCCAGCATGCGTCCCGAAAACCACATCTGGGATCTTTAACCCACCCAGTACAGCGCTTCGTGGCCCAATAGGGAGCTCCACCGAAGCCCCCAGTGGTACCGCCAGCATGCGTCCCACACACCCACTTTTGTATTTCAACACACCCAGTACAGCGCTTCGTGGCCCCATAGGGAGCTCCACCGAAGCTCCCAGTGGGACCGCCCGCATGCGTACCCCACGTTTCGTGGCCCCATAAGGAGCTCCACCGAAGGCCCCAGCCCCACTGCCCGCATGCGTCCCACACACCCATTTCGGCGCACCCCTCATACGTTTCGTGGCCCCATAAGGAGCTACACCGAAGGCACCAGTGCCAACGCCTGCATGCGTCCCCCCCGCCCAGCGCTTCGTGGCCCCATAGGGAGCTCCACCGAAGGCCCCAATGCTACCGCCCGCATGCGTCCCCCCCACCCAGTGCAGCGTTTCGTGGCCCCGTAGGGAGGTCCACCGGCGGCCCCAGCGCTACCGCTCGCATGCGTCCCCCCACCCAATACAGCGCTTCGTGGTCCCATTGGGAAATCCACCGAAGGTCCCAGTGCTACCGCCCGCATGCGCCCCCCACACCCAGTACAGCGTTCCGTGGCCCCGTAGGGAGCTCCACCGAAGCCCCCAGTGCTACCGCCCGCATGCGTCCCCCCCCAATACACCGCTTCGCGGCCCCATCGGGAGCTCCACCGACGGCCCTAGTGTCACCGCTCCACCGAATGCCCCCAGTGCCACCGCCCGCATGCGTTCCCCCCACCCAGCGCTTCGTGACCCCATAGGGAGCTCCACCGACGGCCCAAGTGTTACCGCCCGCATGCGTTCCCCCCCACCTAATGCAGCGCTTCGTGGCCCCATAGGGAGCTTCACCGAAGAAGATATTCACAATTGCGGCACCCACAACTGCATTTGATTGGGTCCTTCGCCATGATAATTTTTCAAATGTGGTCATCGCCCTGGCGCCGCGCACGATGCGTCTAACAAGTCTGCAACAGCTTCAAGGATGGAGGACCGGTGGTTTTCAAACTGTGGCCCTCACCTTAGCGACGCGCGCATTCGCCTTACAAGCATCCAGCAGTTTCAGAGATGGTGGGCGGTTGGCTTTCGAAACGTGGTTCTCGCCTAAATGCAACGCACATTCGTCTTAAAAAATTGCAGCATATTCAAAGATGTAGGGCGGATCTTGCTTTCAAGTTCTGGCTCTCGCTTTAGCGCCGCTTGCATTCGCCTTGATAGTCTGCAGCCGATTCAGGAATGCGTATGGTTGAATTCCCAAGAACCTTCTGGCACGATTCAAGCTTGCCAGGACCTAACAATCACGTGGATGTGCGGTGTTGAACTCCCAGGAACAGTGTTCTGGCACGACTGAGGACAGTCAGGGCGCAACACTCACGTTGATTTGCGGTGTTGGCATCCCAAGATAGGCTTCAGGGGGCGATTGGAGGTTCTCAGCCGTTTGCCTTCCAACGGGCCACCCCCGCGATGGAAAAGTCTTGTAGTGACCTATGAAGAGGGGATGTTTGGGGAGGGTGTATGGCAACATCGTTGATGCGTCTTGGGTTTACTCTAGCCCTCCTCCTCCTCCTCCTCCTCCTCCTCCTCCTCCATCCATGTTCCTTCTGATTAACTCCTTCCTGCCACACCCCCAGACGCCTCGGTAGATCGGGTTGGGCGTTTCGCCTGGGACTTCCTCAACACCTATGATCGTGAAGCTTGAAATCCGTAGCAGCGTCAGGGATGGAGGACGGGCCGTTTGCAAGATGTGGTTTTCGCATCTGCGCCGCGCACAACCAGTGTAACAGTTGCAACAGCGTCAACGATAGAGGGCGGGTGGTTTTCAAGGTGTGGCTCTCGCCCTTCAGCGCCGCGCGTCTTCGTCGTAACAGTTTGCAACATCTTCAAGGATGGAGGCCGGGTCCTTTTTCAACGTGATGAAGCCCGCCCCTAAGCGCCACGCGCACTCGGCATAAAAGCTTGCAACCATTTCGACATTCAAAGGTGGGACAATTGCACAATGTGACCTTCGCATTGGTGCCACGCACATTC